TTCCTAAATGAAATCTAACTTTACAATGTACTCCCTCCGTCGCATTAGTAGGTTCCCGTCTACTATTCAAATGGTCAACTTAAATCATTTTTAATCTTTTGCTTTATATATCAAATTTTTATCGAATTTACATTTTTTATCAGGCTTTGTAGCGGTTATAATTTAATTTCTGAATATGTAAATTTTATTTACTAAAAACTGTCGGAGTATGAACAGGGATTAAGTTGTTCTATTGGCAGTCAAGCATCGTAAATCGTAACGGGAACCTTCTAGCGGGACGGAGGGAGTATATACTGTCGTCTCTTTCATTTAAAATATCACCCAATTGCATGAAATTAAAATGGTGATGAGTATTTTTGTTGTAAATATCTTTACACACTTTGTGATGGCAATAAAATTTAAATTGTATTTATGACGTGACTTATGTGTGGTCATCCTTCTAAATTTGGTATCGTTTGTACCAACCAACACATTTTCAAAATTGTATGCAAGACTTTTCTTGGAGCAATTTTTCAAACTGGGGAGCAAGATTTTATTTAATGACTGCATGTTTCTTCACACCCTATATTGTAATTGAAAAGGCAGATATGTCGGTAATGCGTTATTATATTATTATTGTAATATATATGAAAGAAGTTGTGAATAAGACAAATTTAAGTATAGGAATTAACATATTTACCTGACCATCTATTATAACCATCTCAACATACTCGGGCTGAGTTGTGTTTCTTTCCGGCACTCTCCACAAACGGATGATGTGTGCTTGAATCTTCCAATCAATGGAGCCAGACTTGAGTTCACTCAATAATGCTATTTTTGGAGCCATGGGACGGTGACATATTATGCCAGTACCTATAATTGTTCGACAAATCTGCCACAACCTTACATATTTATTGTAAATACTCATTGAATATATTTTGATGGCTGATTTGTACACATGAGTTGTGTACACGAAGCCGCTTTGAAAGTTTGCCTAACTCAATTTTGAGAAAATTTTGATAACTAATGTTTGGGTACTTTGTCACTACTGGCGTAGCAAAGCCTAGGGGGCAACGCCTAGTCTCTCACTCACTCTAAATTTTAAAAATACTTTAAATATTAGTGCAAAAAAATCATGTAAATGTTTTTCTAAAAAATTCTTTGTACCGGCCAAATGCTCTCCCAATTCTTTGTCACTTAAGTCCCATTTAGATTGGGAGACATATTAAAGCCTTTCAGGTATTATGTACAAATACGTATAAAATAAATCCAAGTATTAAATAAAATACACCTAAACATTTTGGGATTTATAAAATGCCTTAACATGTGTTATTTAAATACACCAAGATTTCATAAATTCAAAAATATCTTGAAATGTCTAAGGCTTCGAGCGTATGTTTACGTATTTAATTTATTGTTATTTCCTCTTTTGATTCTGATACACAGATAACATGTCGTTCAAATGAAGGATAAAATGTATTTCTCATTATTAATCTGCTTGATTAAAATATGAAAAATGGCATAGATATTAATAATAGAGTTTTACCGGACAAAAATACAACTAGTTGTGTTTTTTATCAAAAATATGACTAGTCACCGTGTACGAGTAACTGGACAAGAGTCATTATAATGTATTTCAGAGTGACAAGTCATTGATAGATGATGAGTCACTCGAACCTAGTCACTCTTGTCATTTTTTTAAACGCTTTTATTAAGGTCTCGAAAAAGCATTTACAAGAGAAAATCAGGGAGGGCAAAAAACTCGCCATGAAAGTAAAAGAAAGAATGGCAGATATACCACCTCCAAGTTTCGGGTGGACAAAAAAGGGATCGTGCCTCTCTTTTGACAAAAAAGAGACTTAAATCAAATTAAAAGCCCAAAATAACCTTTCAAAAACTAGAAAATAGTATTTGGCCGACGCCCTGCATCTCCGTTCTCTTATTCCTAATTTTCCGCGTGAAGACTTCGGTCCAGTCCAGTGTTTCAGCATCACCACCCACCGGACGCCGCCCAGCGTACGCCGTCTCCATCCCCTGTCGTACGCCGCCTCCTTCCTCCATCGTACGCCACCGTCGCCGTCTACCTCGACTTTTCTTCTTATTTTTTCTGATTTTGTGATGCAACTCAGATCCGACGCGCGGTTAGGGTTTATTAGTGGTTGCGTGGCGGCTGGGGTAGGCGATTAGGGCGGAGGGTGGGGAAGGGGAGCGGTAGTGGCGACTGGAGTGGGGGCAGCGACGGGGCTGGGGAGTAGCGTGGCAGTGGTGGTGCAAAGATTGGGAAAGTGGATTGGGTAGGGTGGAGGTGGCTGTAGAGGGGGGAAGCTAGACACGAGTCTGGGGGAGACAGTAGTGGATGGTGAGGTAAATGTTGGCGGCTAGGTTTTATGGTGAGGTCCGACGGTTGGGGAGATTGGAAAGGGGGTCTACGGCTTGGGATGGTGTTGCGCTGTCAGCGAAGGGGAATGAGTGGATAGGGTGTGTGGCTGGGGGTGGAGTAGGGCAGGGGACTGCTGGGCGCTGGGTAGGGGCTGGGGGTGGGAAGGAGGGATGGGGGGTGTCGGATGGGACTGGTGGGACTGGTGGGCCAGTAGTGGTGGTTTATGAGTAATTGGACGGGTTGGTAATTGTAAGTGGATAGATTGGTAATTGTAACTGGACGAGTTTGGGAACTATAATATGGCGGGTCAGTAACTATAACTGGATGGATCGGGTAACTGTAACTGGACGGATCGGGTAACTGTAACTAGACGAATTGGGTAACTGTAACTGGACGGGTCGGGTAACTGTAACAGTACGGACGGACGTTGGTCACTGGATGAACAAACGTTGATCATTGGACGGGTGAACGTTTATCACTTGACGGAATTTGGATTTTTGGTCATTAGCGATTTTTTGGTCACCGACTTTTTTGGTCACTATACTATTGGTCAACGTCAAGGATATAAAAGTCAATTTTTTTTATCCTTGCTAACATCTTGGGAATGGGAAAGTGGATAGGAACATAAGAGTACTGATACAGTGATACGTAGTACGAAGTACCTACGAAGTAGTACTTAGTATTAGCTTACTAGGGTGTTGTGTATTGTTGCTGTAGTCATTAAGGGTATATGCGTCCCATTTTTATAATTCTGCTACGGAAGGTCTCTTTTTTTTAAATTATTAAAACAAGTCTTATATTTGTCTAAATCATTTTAATTGGTAATATTGTTGACCTAACCCCAAAGTAAAAGGCAAAAATAACAATGGGCTGAAGGAAAGTAGGAATAGAGGAGGAGGAGGAGAGTTAGGCCTACTCTAAAACGGTTGGGCCAATGTTGGCCCCCCCACGCAAAAAAACCTAATGTGTGTTACCATAATGTGCATTAAACTCATTAAATTATTGATGAAATAAGTTATTAACTTCGTTGTTAATAGAGCGGACCATCCAATTATTGAATCACTATCAGATCCAGAGCGGGCCATCTCACCGTTTTCACAAGTACGGAATCACCGCCATCCTCTCGAACCTCCTGTTCGCTATGTTGTGCGAGGCGTTCTGACCCATCAGACCCTTGTGAGGTGCATGTCTCGCTGGAGGATACACACATGGCTAGAATGAGCGAAATGCGGAAATAGGAAGAATATGAGACTAGTAATGTGTGAGACTAATTAAGTGTTGAGAGAAAAGTCCATTGGCGAGGAGATTCGGATGTAGAGAGAAGCGATAGCAGGCTAGAGAGAGAGTGAGGGTCCAAAAACCCTGAGCACGAGCCCAGGAGCGAGGGGATATTTGTATGGTGAACCGCCGATTCAACGGCCTGTCGAAGATCAACACGAGGCAAGGAGAGAGGCGTGTCACACAGAGGCGAAAGGTCAGGCAATCATGATAGAGACCTGAGGAAGCTGCTAACCATCAGCTGCAACCATCACCTCAAGACCTCGGGAAAAAGCAACGCAGCTGTCAGGATGGAGTGAACGGGATCATTTCATGGGGAACATCATAAATGGATACTTGTGTTGGGGTATTAGGTCCGACACAGGCAAACCCAGATACCCCCACGCGGCCCAATAAATACAAGGGCCCAAAATCTGTGTACACAGATGTCTGGGAGCTTGTCCTCCCCAACCCGTACTGCCCCCCCCCCCCCCAGTCTGGAATATCCGGACACTTGGCATTTCTCCGCTGCTGATATATGTACGTTGGAGAGCATCATCAAGCAATTGGCGAGAAACTTGGATTTGACGGGAAACGTGTTTAATGCTCCAGATATGAGAGGTTTTATAGTTGGAGGTCATCCACTCAAGGTTCAGTTTTGTCGATTTCTGTTTAATGGGTTTGGGTTTGGTCAATTTCAGTTTTTAGTCAGTCACTTTCGGTTTTTAATCGATCGGTTTTATCGACTATTAAAACGGGTGGAATCGAGAATTAGACCAGAAAACTTGAGTCGATTAGGTTGATTTGTCTAAATTTCAATCGATTTTTTCAGTTGATTTTGGTTTGGCTGGTTTTTTAACACTGATAGAGTATATAAACTTGGGCCCCTCGGGTCTCATGACTATTGGGTCTAGACAGCGGCCCACACACGCTTACCAGATAGCATTTACATTATTGTACAGTCTTTATATCTAGATTACCATTTATGTAGTTGGACCTTTCGGGCCCATATTAGAGGTCCGGACCATTGTTTCTCTATGTATACTCCTCTTGGAGTTTCTTGTAACCCTAGAACATTCATTCATAATACATCATACATACTTCATCTTCTTCTCCATTCTTGAGCTCAATCTCTCTATTTTGTACTACCTCCGTCCCTTTTATATTGGGACGGAAGAGGGTGACACGAGTTTTAAGAAAAGTGAGTTTGTGTGGTTAATATTAATTGATAAAGTAAGAATAAAGTAAGAATGATTTTGAGCCACACAAACTTTACCAAATATGGTATGAGACAATTTAAGTGGGACTTCCCGAAATGGTAAAACGGGACAATATAAATGGGACGGAGGGAGTATATGTTTGGATCTCTATAATCCATCAAACACAAAAATAGAAATTAGAAACCATATCCGAATCACCGAAGAATTAGTGTTTTTCGGTTGGTTTCGGTTTTAGTGTTTTTGTCGGCTTTGGTTTTTGTCGGTTTTTTGTTTAGTCGGTCGGTCAGTTTTGGTTTTTTGATTTTTTTGTTCACCCCTAACACCTATTACCTTATAGTACAAATACTTGCATTTATTTCATTGTAAAGAGTTGACAAAGTTGCATTTAATAGCTTAGACTTCTCTCAGTGTAGAATTGAGGGTTGAAATTCGAATTCGGTAAGGGTGTGCTGTAATTGTTCTAAATCCATAACAGAACTTGGTATATTTTACCTCATTTTCCTTTCTTGTTATTTCTTTTGCTTTCATATTGCTTTATTCACATCCTAAACACATCAACCCATAAAAGATCCTACGAAATAAGAAGAATTTAGTTTTCACTCATATTGAAGCAACTCGTTCTCCTCCAAAACCACCTCCGTGTCAAGAAGAGTTATGTGAAAATGCTTTATTCGAATGTTATTTTTACTTTAGTAGTACTTGTTTTTGTTTTTATTCGAGTAGGTTTGGTTTAGATATCTAGATATTTGGTTTTGATTGTTTTAAGCTTAAAATGGTTTGTTTTGTGTATAATGAGCCAGATCGCTTTGTATGAGGCGTTTGACTCTATGTCTATTCCTAAGTCTGACGATAGGATTTTAACAACTGTTTGAAAGTTGTCTTGTATGCTTTCTCGAAATTTTTATAAAAACCGCTCTTTTATATTAAAAAATATTTATTCCTGTCATATCACACAAGACCAATTTATATAGAAGTGACCCGTTCAAAATAGACCCAATCGGACTAAAACAGACCATACCAAATCATACATGTTAGAAAATTTCAGTCTAGTTAAAAACATTCTATGTAAAACTGTCATATGTACAAAACTTTAATTCCACAAGAAATTAACTTATTAAGAAAAGAAGTAGAAACAGAAATAAAAGAAGTAGACTTGTAAACATTGCTTCTATTTAGGCCTATCTACTATAGAGATCTTTACAGAGCTGAACTATTCCTTGGTGATGCCTCCCTACTAAGGCTATCACATTTGAGTCTGTCAACTAACATATCCAATGCTTCTTTCATCCAAATCTGTTTGCAAACTTCTCTAGCGTCGTCAACGCACATCTGCAGGGAAAGAACATATAAATAAGTTTTATTCATCTAAATATATAAATAAAGTAAAATTTGCGTAACAAGATATTTCTTCGTAACATTCATATCTTTCCGCATTCCTTTAATCCTTATGACCAGGAAACATGTACTTACCCAGGCTCTTGTTCGCATATTCTTCTCGGGCCAGAGATCAAGTTGTTCTGTGACCAGCAAAGGGAACATGTAGCCTTCGTGATGGATTGCCCGGCTCTTGCTCATGAATCTCCATTTCCCCAACTCACTCTCAAGAAGGCCAACAACTCCGGCTTCTTCAAAAGATTCACGGGAAGCTGCTTCTTCAATAGATTCATCCAGCTCCCAGCCTCCCTTTGGAAACATCATTGTTTCTCGGCCTTTCTTCAGTGAACTTATCATCAGGACCTCCACCTCACCGCCATTTCTGGTGAATCTGTAAGGCACGCATCTACATTGCAGCAAATGAAGTCAGGAATACGAATTCATAATGATTGAATGAACTGAATCCGGTGAATGATGAAGAATTTGCATTTTAGTAAACTTTATTAATATAACAGATCAAAAAACACATCAATTTTAGTATTTGAGTGGCGACGGACAGAATGAAGCATGAAATTGAAGGAATAAAGCATACATACCCTACGACGAGGCGGTGACCTTTGTTGTAGCGCTGCAAATTCCTTCCCGTCCGAGAAACCGAAACAACCATATTCGATTGCTTACAGAAATGGCGTTCTGAATCGAATTATCAGAAGATTGAATCGGCTTCTTCTGTTGTCGTTTGATCTAAGTTTAGTAAGGATTTGTTTTTCGTGATTGAGGAAATATATGGAATGAATGGATCAGGGGAAACACTGGCTTGGCCTTTAAATAATGAATGAATGATACGTCGCCGTGGAATTTGATTCCGGATTGAAACGCGTCGCTTTAGAGTTTAAACTGCGGCCCATGTACTCGTAATAAAAACTTGTTTTCTTTCCTTCCCATCATCATCCACGGATTATGTCAACGCAAAATTAATTGCTTAATCAAACAAATTAATCTACTAATAAAATAATAGTCGCCATCATGGTCGCTCCCACTTACGATGGGGTAAGGGGTCGGATGTACGCAGCCTAACTCTTGTACTAAAACACAGATATATTGTTTCCAGATGACCTATAGTGAAATTCGCGTCGAAAATTGAATGGACAGACTACTATTCCATACTCCCTCCGTTCCATTAGGAGGTTCCAATTGCGATAAAGCAACTTAATCCCTGTTCACACTCTGATTTTTTTAGTAAATGAAATTTACATATTTAGAAACTACATTCAAACCACTACAAAGCCTGATAAAAAAAATGTAGGTCTGATAAAAATTTGATATAAAAAGTAAAAGATTAAGAATGATTCAAGTTGACCATGTGAATAGTGGACTGGAACCTTTAATTGGGACGAAGGGAGTAATTAAAAGCGCAGACAATTTAGTGAGTCATTTTACTTTATTCCATTATATTCTCAAGCCAAAATATAATGAGTGTTTGACTCCATTGCAAATGATGAAAAATACTAATAAAATAATATAATAGTCTGTAATAAATATAAATTGCATAATCAGAAAGGAATATAAAGAAGAGAAAGTCAAAAAGAGAGAAATCAAAAGATAAGCACATCACTAATATACCGACCAATTTTTTTTCTTTACTAATGTGTATCACATGCCTGCAGAGGGCATTCAATTGGTTACTGTTGGTGAAAATTTGGAGCAATAATGAACAATAATCTAGTCTCTATGTTAAGCTGGGTTACTACATATGCTCTCTGTGAGTGGAGCATGGTGAGCTTTGAATTTGGGGATTTACCTTTTTGAAACGATTAGTGTAAATCAGACGTGTATTTCTTGTAGAGTGTTTGAGGAATATTCTTTTATTTGCAACATTTTCATTTACTATACTTATTCAATCCTCATTTTCTACTTTTTCTCCCATTTCATGTATTTTCCTCCTTTCTTTCCTATGATTTACACTTTTCAAAACTACTCATTACCCTTATTTATTTATTTATTTATTTATTTTATTTATTTATTTATTTATTTATTTATTTATTTATTTATTTATTTATTTATTTCACTCTCTGAAAAACAATTTGTAAGTAAAACATCAGAAAGGATGATTGGAAGGAGGATATTTTACTCGTTTTATTTATATATCTTTGCAAATTTTTGTTTAGAAGATTTATTGGAGTAAAAGTTAAACATTTTACAATAGTATTTTTTACATTATTAGTAAGTATTAATCAAATATCAAGTATCTTGTGTTTCGTTGACATTTTACAATAATATATTTACAAATCATGGTGTGAAAATGATTTTTAGATAAAGTTCGGAATATATATAGGAAAATATTCATGTAAGGTAGGTCTAAAAGTTAATTTTAGGTCACTCTCAGTTGAAGGGATTCAAAGACGATTTAATTTTATAAAATTTTGTGAGAATGTTCTCCCTGAAGTTTATATTATATCTACCAAATTTCAGAACAAAATTTAATCGAGAAGTCGGATACATATAAAATGCAATTTTTGTCAATAATTTAGTTAATTGACTACCCGATTGAATTTTAAGTTGAAATTTGGTGGACATAATATATATTTCATGGAGTATGCTCACACAATTTCATTAAAAAATTCGACCCGGAATTCCCTTAGGCACAACTATACATATATAACCTTGAAATCACACGTGGAAGGGGTGGACAATTAGTTCGAGTAGCGGGCAATGGCCAAACTTATTGCAAAAGAGGTTAAATCAGCCGCATTACAATTACCTTCTGGCGAGGTCCGTTTTATATCCCAAAACTGCTCCGCAACAATCGGACAAGCCGGTAATGTTGGGTTCAACAAAAAAAATGGGTTGAGCTGGAGCTAAACGATGGCTAGGTAAGCGTCCTGTAGTAAGAGGAGTAGTTATGAATCCCATAGATCATCCACACGGGGGTGGTGAGGGTAGAGCCCCTATTGGGAGAAAAAAACTACAACCCCTTGGGGTTATCCCGCCCTTGGAAGAAAACTAGAAATCCTTCTAGTTTTAGACCTACCTTAGGAGAACACTCCCCAATATATATTACATACACAAGTTCGAGGTACTTATCTCAGGATGTTTTACTTGGACTGTAATCTGTCCCAGACCAGACCAGATCAGACCAAACCAAGACTTAGATAGTTATAAAAATACAAAGAAACCAGACATTACCAGACCAGATCAGACCAACAAATTACAGTCCAAGTAAAAACATCCTCACACCTCAGCAAAGATTGAGTTATATATATTAGTTTTCCCCTATTAAGGGTGATAACATTAAAAATGTTTTTACTTAGACTGGAATTTTCTAGTCCGGCTTGATTTGGGTTGTTTAAGTCTGATTTAGTATGTCGTGATATTTTACTCGTTTTATTTATATATCTTTGCAAATTTTCGTTTTACAATAGTGATGGAGTATATGGCCCAGGAACCCCCCGACCCATAGACTCCTACCTCTCCTACACAGGCCCAATGAGCCCAAGGAGCATTCGAGGCCCAAACACAATGGCCCAAGTGTCAAGAAGCCCACTACGCCCGTATAGGTGCCTTCGGCCACCTTGGACGAAGGCTCCAAATCTCACAGAACAGTCACGTTTGAGCATACGAAGCTACTGGGAGAAAATGGCAGAAAACAGGTGCCTTCGGCTCTATTGAGCCCTCAGCATCAGGGAAGCCTTCGGCTGAACCAAGCCTTCGGCTACACAGAGCCCTCGGCTGCATGGAGAGCCTTCGGCTATCAGACTCGATCATCGAAGATTCCCTCTGGAGACAGCCAACCACCGCATTTAATGCGGCGTCACATCCACCCACCGCATTTAATGTGGTGCACATGCGAGTGCGGAGTGCCGGTGCCACCCCGATTGAGGTGATCCCTCGGCCGTTAGATTACTGACACGTGTACTCTCATCGCATTTATTGCTGCTATAAATAGCAGCCCTTATTCTCCATGTAAAACACGCAGAGTTCATTTAATAAAATCGACTCTCTCTCCTCTTACTTGCTCTGACTTCTCTCTAGTTATTCTCATAATAACCACTCGGATAAGCTACCCCCGGGTACACTATCCATCAAATAGTATTTTACATTATTAGTAAGTATTAATCAAATATCAAGTATCTTGTGTTTCGATGACATTTTACAATAATATATTTACACAATCATGTTGTGAAAATAATTTTTTAGATAAAGTTCTGAATATGTATATATTACATCACAAGTTTGGAATACCTATCTCAGACCTCATCAAAGATGAGTTATATATACTATCGTATTAGTTTTCCCCTATTAAGGATGTTAACATTGACAATGTTTTAATTAGACTAAAATTTTCTAGTTTAGCTTGATTTGAGTTGTTTAAGTCTGATTTAATATGTCCTGATTTGATTTGACCTAGAGTGGGACTGAAAGTTTAAAATCATTACAAATAAAAACATATATTTTAACTAAACAAGATGCTTTAAAAGAGGTGAAAGGATAACCAAAAAAGTATAATTAATGTATAGTGATTTATTGTTTGGAAATTGAAGTAATATACTTAGTATGTTAATTAGAATTGTTTGAAATATATATATATATATATATATATATATATATATATATATATATATATATACACACACACATACATATATATATATATATATACATTGATTATACCGTCCCTCGGGTTGTGGGACGCAGAGCGCCCAGGTGTGAAAGCACGCCGTGCGCACGGTGTGCCAATCCCAAAACGACATTATTTTATGATTATAAACAGCATCCGCTTCATCAATCAAACGATCAAAGAAAAATAAAAACAGAGCATTATCGTGGGATGATCCCAACTCAGTAGAGTGATCTTTAGCTTGGAATCAAAAGAGCATCATTTGCAAATCATAGAGCAACATGGGACTGAAGCATCAATTAACATCTATGAAATTGCTGACATGATTTGTTGATGAATTAGATGATGATGGAAATAACCTCACGCATAACCCTTTGTATTGAAAGCAGGAAGATTTACGTAGTCCATAAGCCTTTTTAAATTGAAAGCAAATTCTTTTGCTTTGATTTCACATTTAATGGTTTGCCTATTAATCAAATTCAGATTAATATAAACATCTCCATTCTGTTGATGTTGATCCATGGAGTAATTGGTTTATATATACTTCGTATTAATTAATACATGAAGTTACATCTATGTAAAGGTGTTTTACATTTCAATGTGTTGAAATTACATTTCCCAAGTTACATCTCAATTAAAGTAGTTTACATTTCAAAAAATTACATTTAAACGAGTACATTTTACATTGTGATTAACCTGAAGTTACATGTTGATTCACGGAGTTTACGTTTCATATAACAGTGGGAGCAAGATCCTAAACCTGCACCACTCCCACGGTATAACAACTCATATGTGTGGGGAGAATTTTGTGCATTAAACCGTTAGTTTTGCCCATAGATCATTTAAGTAGTACGTATGTATCCGGAATTGAGTAAGCTACGCTACCCCTTTGGAAGTATTTAGTACGGACGGTGGAGTATGAGGAAATAGTAGTCGGCAACAATTTGTAGTAGGCCAAATCAAAGTTGGACCAATACAATTCGGCCAAAGGTAACGGCGCGTCGGCGTCTAGCTTCCTTACAACTTGCGCCTTTTCTTCTTCCTGTTTCGATGACGACGAACCCGTCCATTTTGATGACCGCGACGTATGCCACAATTATCACCAATCAATTCTGGAACATTACTTGTGATTTTTTCAAATCTTTTCATGAACCAAAAACCACACAAATATCCGTTTCACACGACTAGATTCTGGAACAAAC